GTTCGCTCAACACATTTTTCGTAATTATCCTTTCTTACCTAGGTTTTAAGGGCGGAAGTGGTGTAGTGGCAAGTGGCACGCTTACCACGCGAGCGGTCCGGGGATCAAATCCTGGGTCGTGAGTCGCCCGGGCCAACCAAGCCTTCCATCCCTCCGGGGTCGGTTAATTGGTACCAGACTTGTCTGGGAGGATAAAAACACTGACTTGTACATCGGCTGGCCCCCGCAAGTCATTGTATAGGCCACATCGCATTCAAACGCCACTACGAATGTACAAATGGAAGTAGAATGCGTGCCGCATCCCAAAAGGGATTGATCAACGGCAAATGCTTTAACTCCCAGAAGGGATTGATCGACGGCAATTGCTTTGTCCTTTATCCTTTAAAGACAATGAACTTCATTCATCTGAACATTGAATTTTTTTCAAAAATTCATAGTTCCTTCCTTTTAGAATCTTATGCTTCTAATTTTCTTCTACTCGTCTTCCTTTTTTGGTCGAGGATTGCTTCATTTTGGCGGCTCTCGAACTGGCAGCAACCAAAACGGGGAGTCCCCATTTTGGTTGCTGCCAGTTGGAGAGCTCTATGCTTAACCAAAATGGGGAGTCCCCATTTTGGTTAAGCATAGACTGTAGTAGCTGCTCGCCTTGCAGTATAATAACTGGCCACGCGTTATAATGAGCTCTCCAAAAAGAATATGATAAGTTTATTAGTATCTGAAGATTACTAGTATATCTTGCTCACGAAGTTAAGCTTTCCGGAGGTGTTCTTGAACAAGCGATAGCGGAGTTATTGAGATATTGATGCGATCACAAAGCAAGGATATTGACCGAGCTACGACTCTGAAAAATACAATTGAGCTGAGGAAAAGGCTGAAATAGGTGTAGAAGCCTGTAAAATATGAAAGTAACCGAAGAACGATTTCTTGCTGACAGGAAGCGATTTTTATACCTGAAGCCTTGTGCGTCATTCAACGATGTTTTATGCATTTTTCCAAACCATTTTTAGTGATGATTCGTCGCTACACCCAAACATATGAATCGTTCCGTCAAAACATTGAAAATTGACTATAGATTGACTAATACATGTTTCCGTACGATCAGCCAAAACAATCGCTATTTCTGCAAGAAATCGGTTTTACATTTGTTTACGTTCCTCAGGAATTTTCGTTGGTTGCAGAGCTACGTTGACAGTGCCGTGCGTTTCCTTCGAACTGAGTGGACTGAACTAAATAGTTGTGTTGCTCTTTGGTTACGAGAAACTTTGAGAAGGATAAAAAGTGATCTGCTGAATTCCAGATACGTCAATTCCCATTCGACAGTCAGAACTGCAGCATCGTGATGATGGCGCAATCGCTTTCAGTTCGAGATTACACTATGGAAACAGACATATTGCCAGAAATCTTCTCGAATATCGGATTACTGGTGCTCTAGCGTATTTTATATTCTATTTCACCATCTGCTGAGTACAAAGTTGTCAAGACTGTCTATTGACTTTCATGGAGGAATAGTGGAAAGCAATTCAAAATGAGAACACCCTCAGCCCCTCCCTTCAACACCGATTTCGGAATTTTATGATTAGGATCGTCTTCGTTTTCCAACATGGCTCTTCTGCCGTCGTACGGCCCTTAGACCAACGGCAGAAGCTAAGCTGGCTATTCTAATGCTGATGGATAAAAAAGCCATCTGACCAAAAAGTAACCCTTCACTCCCGATGTGCCGACTATTTGAGAACAATTCTCACCTCAGTCATTTTTGTTTTTGCAAAAGTGGTCTCAAAGGAGAACGAGTTCAAAATTAATTGTCATAAATGCTGCCAAACTAACATGCATAATTTAGGGGAATGGTGAGTGGCAAATCAGAAACCTGTCCTTGAGATCAGAAGAAATAGAGCATGGAGCCAAGTACTTCGCTGAAGTGGTTAGCAAATCGAGTATTCTTGCATTATTTTGTTAATATATGTGTGCAAGATTTCTTTGTTGTTGACTTGAAATGAAACTCTTCCAAAAGGCTTTATTTGACGACGTTTCGGGCCGTAAGCCCTTCTTCAGGTCTATAACATCATCCATACATTACGTTCTAACATAAAAGAGTGAATCAATACAACATGATATACGAAGCTGACTAACCAATTACAAAAAAGGGAAATTCCGGGTTGAGGGGAGCGGATCAAATCGATCATGGAAATCATCGCTGTGCAATGACTGTTGAGATGGAGCTACGTGACGGATGGTAAATGAAGAGTATCGACTGCTTAAATCTTTACCATGATCACCCTCTATCTGGCTGCTCTATTTTTTCCGAGTGAGTAGCAGGAGAGGTTGGTCCCCCATTCACGTTTTCCTCCACATCTTTATCCCATCATTCTTGCAGCGATTCACGAACTCAGCGGAATCAATCCGCTCCCCTCAACCCGGAATTTCCCTTTTTTGTAATTGGTTAGTCAGCTTCGTATATCATGTTGTATTGATTCACTCTTTTATGTTAGAACGTAATGTATGGATGATGTTATAGACCTGAAGAAGGGCTTACGGCCCGAAACGTCGTCAAATAAAGCCTTTTGGAAGAGTTTCATTTCAATCAACAACAAAGAAGTCTGTGAAACAATGAAGCTCAGGAAACCCTATGATCTTAATTGACCTGTGTGAGCACAAAATTAGAGTTCTTTTCGTAGAGAACAGGGTGGCGGGGAAAATGACACCTCCTCCGCATTTCACACCAACCTTAAGAGACTTTGCAAACCTCAAAGTAACCTCCAGAATCATATTCATAGAGCACCTCAATTTATTAATAAACGTATAATGGCTTCAGACCTGTACAGGGGACTATGGCTGAAGATGATGTAATATTTTGAGGATGGGAGGGGGCAGTGAAGGGGCTGTGTGCTTATTACAATCTAGCATATTCCGCCTAAATTTATTATACAGCACACGCTCTTGAAGTACAGGGTGAAGTGCTCTTCTTTTTGGCCACCCCTTTATAGTAGAGCCATGTCAGTTTTCGGACCAGCGAAAATTCATTTTTTACAAACAAAAAAATTTAAAAAGTATCTGAATTGCTTAATAATAATTAGTTATCCTTTTCATATTATTTGGTTTTCTTGATAAAAAAAGCAATCTCAGCGTCCTGTCATCGTGCCGATAGAGGGTTATGTTGTGACTAACTTCGTGACGCAATGCTAAAGTGCGTCAGCATGCGGAGTTTTTTGCATTCATAAGTTTTTTGAGGGACGGTATAAACTCAGCATCCTGGGTGGATGTGGGGAGGAGTTAGTGTTCCGTTTAACGTTCCTGACACGACATGAAGACGACATCAGAATTGCAAGTCCTCAGCACGCTCAGGTTAGGCTTTAGAACTCCACTATAATGTCATCGCAGGTATTAAACTCAATTAAACACACGTTCAGGGACGCGAGTTGCGTGAAAACCCATCATATGAAGTTGTAGATGAAAGCCAGACGATATGTATGAAACTGGAAAAAACGTCGGGGAGGGTCTTAGAAGGTACTCTCCCTCTGCCGCTCAGCAATGGATAAAGACGCACGTTGGACGAGTTGTCTGAACGTGCCCGCTGTAAACGCGCTCCATTTTTCAATCAATTTTCCCTGTGGTCCCAAAACGAGCACGATTGCCGACGCGTCCAATGACGGCCGGCAAGGGGGCGGGATTGGGGAAATCCCCAGAACACCCATGTTTGTTTGAGGGACATACCAAGACTATGTTTTGAGTTTCTGAGGTAAGTTCGTTTATTATTTCCACTGCATATGTTCTTCACTAGGGCTCGTGTATCCCTCAGTAGTAGTGGCATTGAAATTTTCGGACCCTCCCTGAACTGTTGCTTTATCGTTAAGTACAAACATTAAGTTATGCATTTGCATGGGATATCCATTACTTCAAAACCTCCAAGACATTGTACAGAAGGTAATGAGATGAATAATGGAGATAGACATAAAATTTACAGTGATGCAAAACGATTGATCGGCTAAAGATGGTCTAACGGTGCAGTTACCAACTTGCTGTGTCAACAACATTGAAATCCTATTTCCGATTAGTAGCTGTATATTTTCAGAACGTACATGCATATTTGTGACGAGAGTCCTTCGTTCATACTACTATATCATTCACTTCCATAGTCATTTATGTTCTCTGTATGCTGGAATTATTCTCAAATCGATGTACGACAGTGATAAACCTGGAAGGAAGGTTGTGCGCACTACCCGCTCGCGGATGTGTCCCCGAAATTCAGCATCCTTTTACGACTCCCCAACATATTCTTGGCCATGAGCACTGCATCGTGATTGGGATAGAGACGCAGAGTTTTTGAAGACTCATCCCCGGCCGAATAATGCTGCACACGGCCTCTGATGTAGTCAGATCCTTCCCGAACTAAAGTTCCGAACCATATACTAAGATGTTGGATGATGAAATTTTGTGTTTGGGAAACCAGTCCTGCTGAGGCGGCATCCTTCGTCCGAGTTCAAATATTGGAACTGCTACTTTCCGGAGAAGTTATTATGTGTCCGTAGACACGTACGAGCCATAAGAAGAGCGGTTTCATCTGGGTTATGTATTGAACCTTCGGTACAATATTGGAAATTTTGTAAAGTAAATAACCTAGATACGAAGGAGCTGCATCACCTCTTTGCTATTAGCTGGATGGCATTTTATGTATCTAGTAAGCACAGCAGCGACAAAACTTATTTTTTATCAAGTGTTCTCGGTTATATGGTAAAAAAACGTGGCAGTGATGGTGAGTTCTACTCGATTCTTTTTCAATATTTTTTTCAGCTTGGATGGCATTAACTAATATTATGTCTTTGACTTACTTTTGGAATAATGGCAGCCGAGTATACCTAAACCAATGAGAATACCTAACTCGGTGAGTAAGTATGTATCGACACCTGCGGAACGCCGATTGCCACCAAGAACACCACCGGGATTGGGATCACTCTGTGGGTGGCACTACCAGTATATTGAGTAGGGAAGTAGGCATAGATTGGGTATAGAGTTAGTGCGCTGCCCTGAGCACATTGTATTTTGCCTCACCTCTAAAATAAAGCATTTGAGCACTTTTGCAGGCTCAGAAAAAGAAATTAAAAAATCGGCGCATCTGTCTTTTGAGTAGCCTCAATGAAGATTTGTCCTGAGTTGCAGGCCATATCTGAATGTGTCGTGAACGATTGAGCATAATCATTTCCATGAAGTTCAACGATTTATTTCTGTGCCAGTGGTCGCGATCCTGGGGATCATGCTAAGGAGAAGAAGGACATTCATTTCCGTAGTGTTCCGGTAAGCGACTGAGTTGCATTAAAACTTAAATGGAAAAGTTTATAGTTAGCTCTGCGCGATAGAATATTCGGTCTTCGCCTTCATCGACAAGAGAGACCTGTGGGTGGGTCGCACTTCGAAGAAGAGCGAATACTTCCAGCTCTGATCTTTCGACAATGAATGCGTTCCAATGACGAATCGAGTATCACGAATGCGTACCTTTACCTCATATACAGTTTTGATTCACATAATTTGTTGAACTTTGTTAGCATCCTTATACTAGTTTCTATTTGACAGGTGTATTTGTTGTGGTGAATCTAGCCCTCATGGTGGCATCGCTAGGCCTCGTCCTTCTTCTGCCGTATATTCGGTTACCCTCAGCTCTTTTCATCAACAGAAAAGTTGGCCGCGACGAGAAGTAAGTTGCAGCATCAAATTTTTATTCCACTACTTACTAAAACATTTTCAGGAAACTCGCGATGGGTGGAGTCGATGGCAGCGCAGAAAATACAAAGGAAATCGCGCCATTACTGAACGTCACTCTGTTGATTCTGCTCGAACTTGCTAACCTTACAAATTTTTTGGTATTAATTTTGTAAGGAATAAAGTTTTGTTATGGATGGATGAAATGATCAGCCACATTTCGTTGGATCAACTTGCGTCATGCTGCATAATTCAAATTCGTGGGCACGGGCAGGGGCGAAAGGGGCGGAGGTGGGCAGGGGGAGCTGGATAAAGAATAACCCAATGTTTTCGGAAGAGCAGACTTCTAACTACTTACACTTAAAATTAACCTTGTGATTTTTGACAATCTCCTGCGGCAAGTTTCAGTGGTGTGAGAAAGTCTCATGAAGGCTTGGTATGATTTCGAATCACATTCGTCTAGTAACTATTGAAGATCCGCCCTCTTGTCCCCTCAAAGCAACTGTCGAATGCGGAAAGTAAAGTGTTACGTTGAAACCATTACCCTTGTTCAACCCCAAATACGAACCCAGTCTCGAATACGTACTTGCGAAGGACTACCCATTCGAAGGGTTTGAATGGACGGCCGACCCAACACACGGGTTGCACCATTTTCATGCCCTCAGAAGGAGCAGTCGCGGCCCATACGAAGCAAGCCCTCACCACCCGTAATTTCCGCCTTAAAAATGGTACCACTGTGTGTCTCTCTTGTATCAGCGCTACTCCTCACCTCAATGTCTCATGTCTTTGCGTGCATTTCCTTCATCTTAACCTCGTCCAGCTCCTCAAGCTAACTGCGAAGGAGTTCTAGGTTTACTGCGCTTACTCTTCACCATTAGCGGACTACCAGCATCTACAGGCTCCTATTTGAACCACAACTCACCCCCGTAGAAAAATACCCCAAGTCTTTGATGGTCAACTGCTGTTTTTGGCGGCAGTTCGTTTTGCGAAAGCTTCAAAAGAATGCTGGGTTATAAACAAAACATCGAGACCTTCCAGGGTTGAAAGTTAACCCAGCGCTCTTGTGAGTCCTTCGAGTTTTTTCCTGAAGTGCGCTCAAAGCAGGAATAAGTGTAGAATGAAGGCTTTGAACCACTGAAAACCTCCAAGGTACTGATTGACCGCTGCGAGCTTTTGACTCCTACGCAATCACCTCGTGGAGTTGAAAAAACCCCGCTCGCTGACGTAACTGTTGCTGACCTTCGACCTTGGACCCATTCAAATAGTTACTCATAATTTCAACACACCACGAACAAACTGGACAGCGACTGAATTTCCGGGTCCCTATGCAAACAATATCTTCGCGTGGCAGAAAAATGACTTATGATCCCAACGCAAACACTGGCGCACCAGCTTCCAACGATGCTCGTAGCTACCGTAACCGCTCTGCTCCTCATCTGCAGGGAACTACTCCAGCTGTGAAATTTTCAATAAGCAATATTTTGAATTGCTACGTCGACTTATGTGTGTAGAGCAAACTGCTAGTGCAATGGCTAAAACAACCACATCATTCTTCTACTACACCATCTTTCCTTACGTACATAACTCGCCTGTGATTGACCCCTTCACTAAATTTGGGACCGTAAATATTAAAGAAAAACTTGCCGGCAACTAATTAATTTGAACGGGAATTCTTAGGCGAACCTTCCAGATTCCGTGTAGAAGCGGTGTGCGTGGCACATTCGTTGAGCTATATATCTTCGATCACTTCACTCTTATTCCTCCATGAACTGTCTCCAAAAAGAGCGAGATAGTAAGATGATGGGGAAACTTCTATGCTCACCTTACTGTTAAAATGGGTCGCTCGCCTTTCGAGAAATGCGACAAAAGTACATGATAGCATTAAAATCGAACAAATTCTTCTTATAATGCAAACTTCAGATCACACCGAGTTTCACGCGAAGAAATCAAACTTCATAAGGACAAGTCGGCATTGTCGCGGCTCCCGGGTTTGGGAAGCCGTCTTTTCCACTCTAGGAGGGACCACGCACCTAATCGCTAGCCGTGGCTCCCCTGAGGACTTCTGACGTGTAGCTTGGATAGTCTTCTAACGTCGCATACCTGGACCACCTAAGGACGGGCCTTTTTAGAGTTTTTCAGTGGACCACAATAGTTTTCGCGCTCTTTCGCATGCTTGGAATGACATGAACCAATATCATGTCGCTGACATTCATCCTTGAATTGTTGCCGCTGTGCTGCCCAAGCCCTATAAGATACCTGAGATTGGTGATGTATCACCGTAAAATGATGGAAGCTTGGGACACCTAGGGTATGTTTCTACTTGTGGAACGCTCCCAGGGTGAAGTGGGAGAAGACGATGGTAGCGCTCAGGACACTGAAGAGAACAGCCAAAGGGTAAGTTCTTCTCTAATGGTCTGTGATATATCGTTAAGTCAGGTGGAATGAAACAATCATACACAATAGTGTTTTTAACCTCAATCTATTACCAAGGGAGTGCGCCGCGCACCCTACTTTCAATCCGAGAAGAAATATGTTGGAGATTTTTGGCCCGCAGTCGATCTACGATGGCCATCCAATGTACAACAGTGCTCTTATTATAACCTTTGTCAGTCCAGAAGAGATTATATGTAGGTTTAGTGGTGCGATCGAGACGAGATTCAAGAACGGTACAGCTCTACAGTAGTCCCACTGCTAATGTTTGTTCCAGCAGTTGAGATCAGCCCCGTTTCATTTTTGCTACCTATTGAGTTTTCGTAGCGCTGACATCACCGTCCTACACACTTCATAATGCAACATTTTGCAAGCCTTTTTGTTGTGGTCAATCTAGCCCTCATGGTGGCCCCACTAGGCCTCGTTCTTCTTTTGCCATACGTTCGATTACCCTTCGCTATTGTCACCGGTGACAAAGGTGGTCATGAAGAGAAGTGAGTTGAATATAATTTTATAATTTTCATCCGATTTTCGATTCATTGAAACTTTTGTTCAGGAAACTCAAGATCGGGAGCGCTGAAAACAGTCCACCGAATATGACAAAGACCGAACGATTACCGAGCATCACTCTTCTGATTTTGCTGGACCTGCCAACTTGATCAGTTTTCTTGTCCTACTTTTATAGAAAGTAAATAAGTATAAACTGAATTTTCATCTCAGAAAAATAAACTATAATATTATAGATCAATCATTGCAATCAGCCGCTTGCATAATTCCACAATGAGTCAAGCTGGTGTGAATTTTGTTAACTATGACCTCTATAGTTTAATCTAGTCATTTGCTGTATTTCCATAGGCTCACGAAAAGAGAGTGCAGGGTGGCGTGCGGTCGCGTTGCGTCCCCACCACTAAGCTTAGCTCTAGGTTCTCACATAATATACTGTAGAAAGTATCAGGTCATTTTCCTAGACTGCCAAAGCAACTTGGTTAGGACGACACTGATCGATCCCCGGAGGGACTCGTGGTCCATCTCTTGGCGTTGCAACTCCTTATAAACTCGTAGCTTCGGCACAGAACTTCCATATTTGGCATCAGCGTCGAGAAAGGTCTTCAATCACATGCATTTTGAACGGTAAACGT